TAGTTTCAGCTACTGTTTGCTCTTCTTAGTTTTAGCTACTGTTTGCTGTTCTTAGTTTCAGCTACTGTTGGCTGTTCTTAGTTTCAGCTACTGTTTGCTCTTCTTAGTTTTAGCTAGTGTTTTGCTGGTCTTAGTTTTAGCTTCTGTTTTGCTGTTCTTAGTTTTAGCTGCTTTTATGCTGGTCTTAGTTTTAGCCACCGTTTTGATAATATTGGCTTTTAGCTACTGTTTTATTAATTTTAGCTTTTGTACGTTTTATTTTTTGCTTCCAAAGACTTTGAACATTCAAAGCTCAGAATGTGCCTTGATTGCTCTCCGCTAACACCGTGCTGAACTTTAGCTCTGGATGTGTAAAACTGGCTGAATTTTAGCCTTTTTGTCAAAGTGTGAAGTTTTAAACCCTGAACTCCCTCCAGCGTCTTCAGTCGTTGGTCACTGCGGCCATCTTGTTTCTAACTGAGCCTCATCCAGCGGGGAGGACTCTGGTGGAGGTAAAAACATGATCGCCCCCGTTTGTCTCAACAACAAGCTAACATTTAGTCGACGTGATGGAAGATGGCCGCCGCAGCAAACCCAAACCTGAGAGTTTTCATTAACACACAATTAGTTCATGAGATATTTCGCTAACAGACCGTCTCATTTTGGACTCTGCTCCTTTTTTTGAGGTTTTCATAATGAAGAGATGCCTGCTGTGTGGCAGCTGAACTTTTGACATCAGAGTTCCTCTTTTCGGCTCATTTCAGCCGAACGGATCGGAGCCTCCTGGGTGTGAAGTGCCAGACGGCGCCGCCCGGTTCCTCTGGGCTCGCAGAGACCCGGCTCGTGTCTGGGCTGTTCCAGACGTGTGAGCAGCAGACAGACACAGGAAGTGATGTCGCCACACTTCCCTCCTCGCAGACGCTCTTTTGAAAGGCGTGTGTGTGTCTGAGCACTTCAGAACACTTTCATCTGTTTCAGCCGTTGTTGTCTTCAAATGTTCGGCTCATTTGGGACATTTCTGTAGCCATTAGCTGCAGTTTTACTGGACTTTTTAGCATCTGTTGTGCAACTTTTAGCTTGTAACCTCTGTTTTGCTGTTTTAACTTTAGCTACAGCTTGTCTAGTCGTTGCTTTAAGCTTCTGTTTTCATATTTTTAGCTATTGTTTTGCAGGACCGATTTTTAGCAACCGTTTCTCTAATTTAGTTTTTTTTTATTATTTCTTTAGCTAGTCTTGGCTTTTCACAGTTGTTTTGCTGGATATAGCTTGTAGCTATTGGTTTTACAGAATAATCTAGCAGCTACAGTTTTGCTGGTCTTAGCTTTTAGCAGTTGTTTTGATGAAATTAGCTTTTAGCTACTATTAAGGTAATTGAAGCATTTAACCATGTTTTGCTAATTTAAGCTTTTACCTACAGTTTTGTTAATTTTAGCTTTTATTGACTATTTTGATGATATTAGCTTAAAGCTACTCTTGCTAATTTGAGTCTAACTTTTTTTTTACTGGACTTAGCTTTTTGCTGATGTTTTGCTAATTTAGCTGTATGCAACTATTTACATGGTTTTAGCTTTTAGCTCTTGTTTTTCAAATTGTACCTTGTTTATTACTGATTTTACATTATACCCACAGTTTTGTTAATTTTAGCTTATAACAACAGTTTTGCTGGGTTTAGCTTTTAGCTACTGTTTTTATAGATTAAGCTACCAGCTGCAGTTTCACTGGTCTTAGCTTTTTGCCAATGTCTTGCTAATTCTAGCTTTTAGCAACTGTTTTGATGATATTAGTCTTTAGCTATTATTTTGCTAATTGTTTTTTTTTTGCTAATTTTACATTCTACTCACTTTTTGTGAATTTTAGCTTTTAGCAACTCTTTTGATATTAGCTTTTAGCCACCATTTTGTTAATTTTAGCTCTGAGTATTTTTTAAACAGCAATTTAGTTTTTCTTGGTGACGCATCAACAAACAGAACCTGAACCTGAACCTCCTTCTGGGTTCCTCTCGTTGTCGAGTCCAACAAGCCGAACTTCGGCTGACACTCTTTGGGTTTCTGGGCGGCACATGTGATCCGGATGTTTGGAGAAAAAATGTGGTTTGGCTGCAGACTTGGTTTGTTGCTAGCTTTAAAACTTCGCCTTGGGTCGAGCCGATTCCTCCCCAGAAGCGTGAAGCAGAGAAAGAGTTATTAGTTTTATTTCCTGAAGGGATCCTTCGGCTGTTGCTTAAAAGCCGAAAACCCAAAGTTGTAGATTTGCAACGGATCAGCTTTTGGAGTCCATTTGAATCCAGATGGTTGCCACAGCTAACGGACATTAGCCAACTCAATAATGGGTGCAACTCAGTCAGTTTACACATAACAAGCTGAACTTTGGTGTGGTAGTAGCCGAGAGTCCTCGCTAAAGAACAAACGGAGGTTAGGTGGTTTGTTGGAGATGGAGAGGACTCCAGCGAGAAGGTTGTGTGGTGCACACATGCTGACACTCTGCACATTCCTGCAGGCTGCTGCCATGTGTCTTCCTGTTGACAGAGGCAGAGCTCTCAGACGTTAACGAACATCTTCAGCAACAATCCGAACAAAACCAGAACCGACGAGACCCGAGCTAAAGGTCCAGTTCTGGCTCGTCGAGGAGCGGGATGTACTGGCATCCTGTCGGGGTTTCAAAAGGTTAGCTAAAAATAACTTTATGATAATTAAAATAATCCCAAAGTTTAATAAAATGTATTAAAAGATTAGCTAAAGCAACCTAAGGTTAGCTAAATGTAGTAAAAGATTAGCTAAAACATTTTTTGTTGATTTAAAAATAATCAGAAGGTTGGTAAAAATGATTAAAATGTTAGCTAAAAGGAACCTAAGATAAGCTAAAAGCATCCTAAGGTTAGCTAAATGTAGTAAAAGTTTAACTAAAACATTTATCTGTTGATTAAAATAATCAAAAGGTTAGTAAATATGATTAAAATGTTAGCTAAAAGCAACCGAAGATTAGCTAAAAGCAAAATTAAGATTAGCTAAAAGCAACCTAAGATCAGCTAAAAATAACTGTATGATAGTTAATAGTCAAAAGGTTAATAAAATTAATGATTAAAATGTAGCTAAAAGCAACTTAAGATTAGCTAAAAATAGCTGTATGATAGTTAAAATAATGAAAAGGTTAATAAAATGATTAAAATGTAGCTAAAAGCAACTTAAGATTAGCTAAACAAAAGCATTAAAAAGTTAGCAGAAGTTTAATTTAGTTTAACTAAGAATTTAAAGATTAGCTAAAAGTAGCAGAAGGAAACTCAAAGCTAAAAGTAGCAAAACACAAGTTAAAATCAAACTATGATAAAGGTTAACTAAAAAGTCAATGCCAACTAAAAATATCTAAAGGCTAGTTAGAAGCTAATAGTAGCAAAAGTCCGGCTAAAAGTGACAAAATGCTTTAAAAAAAAAAAAAAAGTAGAAAAACTTTAGTCAAAAGCTAAAAGTATCACGAGAAGACAAGAATGGAGGCAGCAGCTAAAACATTAAAATACACAGCGGTCGTCTGCAGAACTGAATTAGCCGAACGTTTTGATACCTGAACAGCTAAAACGTGCAAAGGATT